AATCATAAAGTTTTATAAATATAATATAATCATAACTATAATATTTTTGTAAAATAATTTTAATATTATTTTATTTATATCAAATTATTTAAATAAATTATATGTATTTATAAAATATTATAAATATTTTATCGAAATAAACAGATTTAAATTTATACTTTTTAAAATAAATAAAGATAGACTGTTAAATATACATTAGTATTTGAATAATTTTGTGATCAACAGTAAAAAAATCGATTATAGAATCGAGAAAGCGTGCATAATCATTCATCAAATTCGAAAGAAAAAAAAAAGAAGAACTTACTGCAAGGTAGATCATCGTGTAGGCCGAGAACGACGAATGTCCTGAGGGAAAAGATAATCTGAAACGATCAAAGTTATAAATTATACTCTGTCAAATAAATCTCTTTCCGTTGTTCGTATAAGAACTCTTTCTTTTCTGCATTTTTCAACTTTTTTTTCCTTATTCTTTTTTATTCAACTTAAGACTCGTTAATATTAGTTAAGATTTCAATTAGTCAAGAGCTCAAGTATTTGGAACTCAAGTACTTTAACTCGAAAATCCAATTATTCAAAATAGTTAAATATTAGTTGAATTTAAATATTTCGAATTCAAATAAGTTAATCTAAAATGATAGATATCTAAAATAATATTGAAAAGTTTTGTTAAAATGTATATTATAATAATGAAAAATGTTTTAAATGTATTTTTAATATATTCATGTTCATATTTATTTTATATCATCATTATAATATTATATTAATTATAATATATATATTAATTCATTATACGTCATAATTTTTATCTTTCACATTTCATATTGCAATATACTATTTCATAAAGTAACATTTTTAAAAATTTCAAAATTTTTTCATTACTAATTTATTTTTATTATAATAATAAAATGATTTCAATTATTTAATTAATCTAATTAATAGTTAAACTAATTAAAAACGAAAACAGAAACTTGAAAAAATATTTTAAAGTCAAATAAAAAATAAAAGTTCACAATTGACGAAATTGATTAATCTGAATAAGGCTTTGCGGTAGTAATTTGCTAATATTTATTCTTTTATTTTAAATTTATATGATTTATATGATATATTTTTGATTTGAATTTTTTCAAATATATTTATTTATCAAATTTTAAAAAGATAGTATTATTCTTATTTTTAAATCATAAATAAAATAATGATTTGAAAATAAAATATATATAAATAAAACTTATAAATTATAAATAATTTGATATAATATAAAATTTATTATAAAGTAAATTTGTAATAAAGTAACAAAGTAAAATGTTTTTCAAAGTATTTTTTTTAAACAATTGAAAATTTTTTAAATTCAATTAAATATTTGGAAAGATTAATATTTTTAAAATATAAAAAATTTAGAGGATGAATTTTTAAGATATTTAAAAAACCT